CTGAATAGTCTGCTGAATGTATCACAGTCATCGAGACTGCTGAGAAACTTCTTTCTACCCTTAATAACAGGCTTAAAATGGATTTTCATCCAAACCAACAAAGCTTCTTCAACATATCTTATAAAACTTGATGGGGTTGTGTTTTGTTTTGTACCAGAAGTAATAACTGGCAGAAGTTTAACAAGTGAATGAATACTTCTCAAGGACCTTTCTTATGTCTTATGCTGACAACTGACGGCAGAATACAAACTCAAAAACCGTTGGGAGAGAGAATCCAAATGGAAAAGCTCACCACTTTTGCAAAATATTACTGCTTGTTTCAGTTGTCCATCTGCATGGCTTGCTCCTCTTGGCTGCTTTCAGCACAGATTAATGACCTTCAACCCTGACAAATATGTTGCCCTCATGTTTTTATGATCTCCTAATCTCTCAGAAGGTGACACATTCTGAGATTAGTGTAAATACACCAGGATCCCAGTGGCAGCATAATGCAGATGCAGCTGTGATGAATGACAATTAAAACAGTAGCAGCATGTGACAGCTGTTTACAATTACTTTTAATTAGCAAGTTTTAAACACTCTGTTATCAGGCACCTCTTTGAAGTATGTAACTAGACTAGGTCTTGTGTTCATGTTGAGTAGCTTTCTGCTAGAAAACTACTTCATGAAAGGCTGTAACAGAAAAAAATCTGCTAGTATTTCCCTGAAAAATGCCTCCTAAAGGATAAAGGAACTTAAACTATGGGGAGAATTTGGGGCACAGGACACTACCCAGATGAACTGTTAAACAGTTTGCCTACTGTGTTCTCCATCACATGTTAAACTTTACCTATAAATATACAAGATAAACAATTACAACCAGGTATCTACAATAAAGTTCTGCAGATGTCTACCCAAAGAGAAGAAAAGTTAAGATTGCTTTTAAGCCCCATTTGCCATATCTCAGATCAATTTTAGAAACAGGGTGCCTTCTCTCCTTCTTGTATCCCAGCAAGAGAAGAGCCCCTGTTTAGAACATGTTTCCATTGCACAGGGAGGTGTGCCTGAAGCACGTGGAGACACGCTGGCTGCACTTAGCCCAGGAAAATAAACACTGCCAGGGACGCTGCCAGGCCCAACCATTGATACTATCCGGCTGGGAGAACAGTTGCTGGCATGCTGGGGCCCGTGCCATTCCAGGCAACCCCATCCCCACACGGGTGCAGGAGTCCACAGGGACCAGGAGCCACCCCCAAGGCTATGTGAGTGCAGCCACCCTCTCTGGGAGGGAGTGGGAAGGATGTGGTCAAACGGCAGCAGTTGGCCCCCACGCTAAAGAACAGACCTTGATACTGGCTCACAATAATTCTAATAAACACAGCAACCAGGGCCAACTTTAACTAGATTGTTTGAGCAATTCAGGTAGCCTGGGCTCCACCACAGGCTGTGCACCTGAGCAAATCCTCATGGGCTCCAACAGACTATCTCCCCTCTCAGGGAGAGATTCTGTCACATTTTCACTCTGGTTCTTGCCTAAGTTAAGGTCTCACCTGTTGCTCACCAGTTAAGTCACCATGATACATGTACCATGGGATGCAGGAACGGCACATCCAGAGCTGGATGCCAGTGCAGAGTAGAATGCATGCCCATGTCCCCAAATCACATTAATTCATACAAACCTTAATCATCTTAAAGAAAAGAAATGAATGATCAAAACATGCAATGGCCCAATCCTGCAGGGACCTCCTGCAGGTCCTGGGATGACCAAGGGCATTCGACATCATGCAGAATTAGGCAGCTGCAGCCCAAAACACAACTGCTTCACCAGGTGCGCAGCCGCTCCATGCACTTCCCTGGTACTCAGATGACTTTCAACGGCACTCGCTTCAACAACAGTGCAATCTCCTCTGTTACTAATACTAAAGAAACAACTGCTTATTGCCTGAACAGTCATGCTGCGACTAGGAAATCATGTTTCATATTTCAAAGGTAACTTTGAAATTACAATATGGAGCGCTTGACATCTTAAGAGATCTATACATCATGTTGACACATATAAACAAAAAACGAGACCATACTGCATAATGTCAAGCAGCTTTTCAGCTTGTTTTAAAAGAGGCAACCTTTACAATGTAAAGACACACTTTATTTAGGTCTGAATGGGTCATTTTTCTCTTTCTGTTTTTTTTTGTGACAGAAGTGTTTTTTTTCTCCACCAAAAAAAAAGTTTTATCTCAAGCAGCTCCTAAATACTTGTGCTTAAAACTTTATGATGTCTAGAGAAAAATATAATCAATTCTTAAGTTTTTGTAGCTTTTGTTAGCTTTTAATAGAACTATGGATATTTTCCAGCAGCTACTTTAATTTCCACGAAGCAAGAGCACACAGGGCTCTCAGTAAACCGTCCTTACCAAGAGACCCACAACAGTGGTGCAGGGAGAGGCAGATACATTATTTTTGTGATTAAGAACTAGCAGGTATATTCTCCATTTATTTCGACCATCCTCTTAGCGCAGCTAAGACATCTGCATAACATTTCCTTTTGCTATGGTTCACGTGAGCTAAATAACGCGTATGGTAAAAAACGGGCTTTCAACAGCTTCTAATAGCAAGGAAAAATAAACTCCTGCAGTATTACAGATACACAGTCTCTGCCTTGGCTTCATTACCTGATGTTACTTAAAGAAAATTAGTGGCTTTGCACTGACAGAACCCATGCAAAGGAATAATGCATTGAGCTCACTTTATCCAATATGTGCAGTAAAGATTTAGTTAATAGACTTTTAGTTAAAATACTAGGACTCCATCTCACCATACATTAACAGTCTGACCAAGACATTCACTTCAACATGTCTCAATCCCTGACCCCTAATAGAGGCACCACGTTGTACCCGTTCCTCTACCCTTTCTGCCTGCTCTGTTCAGGCATTTTGTGCCTATGGCACTTGGTGTACACAGCACCTAGTGCACACAGCATTCAGTGTATACAGCACTGGGTGCATACAGCACTTGCATCCATCACCCATCTCACAACTACGCCTAAGTAACTTTGTGGCAGAGGCAGCAGAACCTGAACGGTATGGCTGAGCCAAACGAACCACTGCTTTCATAGTGCTTTCTCCTGTCCCCTTCTGGTGTACACATGTATGTGAACAGATGCATTTACTGGATGCCCGTGTTTTTATTGCACGGATACTATATGCCCTCTTTCTATTTAACAGATTGTTCTGTCATTGTTGCACCCATTTGTTGTTATCTGTGGAGGCTGCACTTCAGAAACTTTTATTCCAGGTGCCTAGGACTGGATTGTCTGTACTGAAAAAAAAAATTAAGATGCCTTTTAACTGACTACTAATGTATAATACTGTATCAAATTTGTAACAGGAGATAACTTTGGGGAAATTTTTTTCTCTGCTGTTCTTAGAAGAAATCTCTTTTGTGCAAATCAGTCCTTCCCCAAATAGCACAGTTACGAAAATAAATAGCCTGAAATTTTAAAAAAATCTAATTCATTCAGACATTATTTCTGAGTCGCAAATCTGTTCCTTCTGTAGAGAAGGGGACATGTTCCCAAGGAAGGCTGCCCCCTTCATCACAAATGTCCCATGTAGAGGAATACAGTTGTGCAATTTCCCCTCAGCAGGTGGATGACTGTGGCGATGGAAAAACCATGCTGTCCAATGGGCTTCATGAGGAGGTTTGTGTTCGTCTCTCCATCTTTTCATCTGATGGAAATTTAGAAGATGCCTCCTGAGGAAACATTTGTCCTGGCAGCCCATCTAGATGACATTAGCAGACCCCTCCAAATTTCCAATAAACACGTCCTAAAAACCTTCACTGCGCTGACTGTGGAAGGCACGGGGATTGCACCTCACTCCCATTACACCCAGAGAGGTGACCGTGAACCCCTATACAGAACCCGCAGCCCCTGGCCCGAGATCTTCTCCAGAACTGGATTCGTGGAGGATTCTGCATGTTTCACACCCCCGAAGAAGTGCAAACAAGCATTGTTGGCATACACACACCTGGCTCTGGAGTCCGCGCATGGTGTCCTCATCCTGCTTCCCAGCCAAGGGGTGCGCAGAGGGTAGCAAGGGGCGCAGCGAGGGCTGTGCAGAAAGCCCAGGACAGGCAGCAGGACTGGTCCCACCTGCCTCCTGCATCCTCTCCTTGCGGGGCCTGGGCTGGCTGGGATGTACACAGGCGAACGGGGCAGAGGGGAGAAGATGGGACAGGGAGAGGAAGAGGGAAAGGGAGAGGGAAGGGGAAAGGAAAAGATGGGAAAAGGAAAGAAGGGAGAGGGAAAGGAAGAGGGGAAGGGAGATGGAGACGGAGAGAGAAAGGGGTTTACAGCAGACGAGGTGGCCCAGGAGAGGCAGAGTCGGGGACCGCAGCCCACGGTATGTCGGGCCGGTGACTTCAGCCGGGAGATATTTGGAGGCTCCGCGGGGTCCGGTGCGGGGGGCCAGCGTGTGTTTGGGTCTGAAAGCGAATCAGCGGAGGGCGCGTCACTGCCAAAGGGCCCTATAAATCCATCTGCGGCGCCGAGTCGCCCTGGCAAAGCCCCCGCGTCCGCGCGTCCGGCTC